TTGAGTCAGTGTAACATAAACATATCACTAATGCACACCGACATATTCAGTCCTGTGATATGAAAGGCTCTTTGTTAGCTAGAACTGCAACCTACCATATTCTCTGACAGCATTTCCCATGCAAAGAGGGGTGGGGCTTGGGGAAGGAGAGGGATCTTTAGGTTAAAGACTTTTAAAATTCTTGAATAAAAATTGAAACCCCGACAGTTACTCCTATGAGGTTGTACAATCCAGTTCAATCAGTATAGCAGTCAGCTATCAGCAAACAGAGCTACATAACAAACATCACTTTTTTTCTTTTTCTTTTTTATGCTGTACTTGAGGTTGAACTCAGGATCTGTGCTTGCTAGACAAGCAGTCTACCATTTGAGCCACACCTCCAGTCCAACAACTATCAATCTCAGTAGCCCAAAAGAGTAAGCATTAGTTTAGCACATGATTGTGGGTGGTTGGGAGACTTCTGATTTAGGTTTGGGAAATCTTTGTTAGAACAACTCTAAATTCTCTGAGTTCCTTGGGACTAGCAGGTAAGCCTGGGAATGTTCTCCTCCTGGCAATGCCTGAAGCACAGAGATAAGGTCCAGCCAAACGAGCACATTCAAGCTTCAGCTGCACCACATCTGTTAACCTACCACTGGCCAAAGCAAATCACATGGCTAAGCCCAATGTCAGAGGGCAGAAAGCACATCCCACCATATTGCCAAAGCAATCTACACTGCCACACCAAGTATCAATAGAACCAGAAATATTTGCATTCCATGGAAATGAGGGAGGATGGCATGAATATGTCCAAATAGTAGCCTACTCTACCTCAATCAGAAGCACTTGAATAACAAAACATATGCTGACCCCTCCTCCGGTGATCAAACAGTACTATTATGACCAACTACATCAGCTAACTATGGCTGTGTGGACAGACACCACACATCTCTGTAGCACACTGAGACACATTTGGCATGCTATGGAAACAATGATTTCCTGGCCATCATCCAGTCTCCACTGTGCTCCTTCTGAGGCCCATGGTAGGGAACAGCATCAATGTGGGGTGTGCTGTCTTTGGGCAGATAGGAAGGGCCAGAAGGATGACAGAGATTCACGATGCCTCTTAAAGCTTTGCCCTGCATTGATGGAGTCTAATCAAGGCAGATGGCCAAGTCTGACACTGGGTGGGGAAGTATATGTGCTGTAAATCACATGGTAACGGGTGGGGCTGGTGTGCACAATACTCTTACAGAGAGTATGTGAACATTTGGCAACCTAATATAACTTATCACAGATAACACTGCTTCATGATAAGAAATGTTTGCTAAGAAACAATCCCAGCTCTCCATTACTTGCCAATAGACCAAGTCTACTATTATCAAAAATATTTGCTCAACTCCTTTTGTACCCACAAGCATTCAGCACCTAGCAATATCCTCAGATGAGTGTTAGCAATGAATGCTCTCCCCCACCCCCATCAGGCACCCTCCACTCACTCCTGTAATTTTGTAAGAGTACAAAATTGAATTGAATCATTAGTGGCCAGGTGTAAGGCAAGAAATAGCTCGCTACAAGTGACAGGAAGTAATTCAAACTGATAGCAAAGGAAAATGTTACAGTTCCTAGAATACACCAGAACTTTCCTGTATAAGCAAAAGGGGGTAAGGCCAGGGCAGAAGCAGCTCTCCATGTACTTACTCCCTTGGGTCAGTGGAGGACTGTGTGCTTCTAAAAACATTGGAGGACCCTGCCATTCTGTAACTGTGCCCACGCTACAACTGTAGATGACCAACAATTGGGGCTTATTTTCTAAGAAGCCTCAAAATTATAATACGCAAATGCTAAAAGTTGCTGTCTAAGCCAACCCTTCTTCCGCACTGGGTAACAACTCACTGTTAAAATCTGATCTGTCCTTTGATTCTCTGCATTTTCTCCAAACTTCCTATGAGCTCAAACCACATGCCTATTTGATACTGGATTTTGCTTTTGGGGCTTCTCTTTTCAATAAATGATAGTTATGCTGTCAGTCTATTCAGATCACCTATATTTTGACTTGATGGCTATTTCTGCAACAGGGCTAGAGGGTCAGCCAGGAAGTTTGGCAAATGGAAACCCAAGGACAAGTAGGCTAGAGAGACAGAGTTTGTCTACCCATGAATGTGAAATATAACTGAGATGATTTACTGGATAACAAACCCACAGAATATTCTGCCTGGTTGAATGTTGGGATCAAATCCATCACACCTAGTTCCTCCTATTTCTTTTATCCATCTACTAGGCCCTGGGGATTGGCATGATCCTACTTTGTAGTGAATTTAGGTTATCTCCTGTAATCCAGAGTATCCTTGGGCTAGGTCCTCAGGATCCCCAAAACATCCAAGGACCCTGGGGGTCAGCAATGGGACCCACTAGACTTGGCAGGTGGCCAAGGTCCTTGTGAAGAGAGGAGCCAAATCTCCTAGGGCTGATTTGAATCCTGACAGATTCTTTCAGATCTAGTCTAACCTTCTCTGCTCCCTGTGATGAGTACCTCAAAGGAGGTGGGAACTGGAACAGTCTTGAAGAATGGGGCAATTTATATACTAGATAACTTACAGAGTCAGGATTTACTGAGATGAGGTTCTGTGAAAACTAGGAGAGTGCTGGCTAATTCAGCCTTGGGCCGGAATGTCCTTGAAATTATATCCAGAGTGTGAGATACAGGCAAACACTAAAGTATGAAGTAACTGTGTAAACATAAGGTTTCATGGCAATCCCAATATTGTCAAGAACAATATTTATTTGAGTCACTGAAATATGAGTAATTAAGTAATTGATAGAGGCCAGGCCTATCATTGACTTAAAACCTATGATAGGATTCTGCTTTGAATTTGGAGTTGGAGTTCAAATAAAATGCCTGGACTGCTGGCCAGTATTTCTTGGTTATTATAAGAGATATTTTACATATTATTATGCCTAGTGGAAAAATAAGGACCTGTGAAATAGAAAATTGTGGTTTGACCTGTAGTATGACTGAATATGGCTATTAGCAAGGTGATTTTCATTGAAAATGTTAAATCCTGATGTTTTTGAGACATTTTCATTGAAAATGTTAACTGATGTTGTACAATTAGGAAGGTGGAAATGGCTTCAGTTTGAAGACATTTATTTTGAAAACCAAAGCACCTAGACAAAAGGGTGGTTCCAATTGTGAGACTAGAATTTATAAGAACTTACAATATGAGCCTGGGCAGAAGTGAGACACCTTACCCCAAACCAGTCTCCAAAATAATCAGAGCAAAAAGGGCTGGAGGTGTGGCTCAAGTGGTAGAGTGCCTGCCTAGCAAGCACAAAGCTCTGCGTTCAAACCCTAGTACCAAAACAACAAAAACCTCCACATAACTCATTGACCAATTGTGGAGGATGCAGAGAAGCAAGTCATTATTTTGAAAAGAAAAACTTGTACATGCATCCTTCCATTCCTAGATGAATATGTCTCAGGGTTACAAAGACTTGACAGGAAAATTTAGTCTCTATGTAAGCATTCCAGAAATAAATGAAGAAGTAATGAAAAAGCAAGAATACTGCCATTTTGCAACTTCTTCTGAGTTAATTCATAGAATAAATGATGATCAGTGGCAGTCAGTGTCCCCAGAGAAGACATAAGCAGACAGGAAGCAGCTCTAATGAAAATGTACCAAGTCACTTGTAAAGTAGGTTGCCACACCATCAGATTAAACCTGATCAAACTCTAGCTCAAGCTACCAACTTACAGGGAACATGAAGACAGAGGAACATGTTCAAAGATCCTAAGGAATGCAACCAACAAAACAGCCTATGGGAAACTCTACAGAATTCTTCACCCTCAGCGTTGTAAGGAAAAGAAGCAGGAACTTATGGATTAAAGAAATCTGAAGTGGCACCTCAATTAATATATACACTCCATGATGGGTCCAAGGCAACAGAAAGCTATGAAATATTGTAAGACAACAAAGAAACTGGAAACACTGGCTTGACATTTGATATTAAGGAATTATGTTTCTTTTTCTTAGAATAACAGTATTGAGATTATATCCATATGTTACATAACACTGTTCTTCCAATTTGCTTTCACCATATCTATCGGTCCTCACAACCATAGCAGAGGTCTGATTCCTTATATCACTGCTTTAGAGAGTCAAATAAATATTGCTCATTGGTCATTCAGCAGTGTCCTGAAGACAGTGCACACAGAGTCCCAGAGATAATAAATATGTACGCATGTCTGGGTCAGAGGAGAATGCTACAAGATGAAATGACAAAATGGCTGGATAGGATTCGTAATTAGCACGTAAGGGGAAAAAGTGAAATATAGAAGATACAAGATTGATCATAGGCTGGCAAATGGTGGGTCTGGATGATGTATGTATAGAGAGTTGTTAAGTCATTTTCTCTAATTTTAGAATATGTTTGAAAATTTCTACATTTTCAAAAAATGTTAAAGTAAAAACTCATTGGAATAATAAAAACAGATACCAACAAACAAGAACCCCAAACTTAGCTTTGGGGAAACTGCCAATGGTGTAGGTAGGGAGCCTTAATAAATTCTCTAGGGAACAAGTCTGGCTTAAGCCTGGCTTTTGAATGCAAACCACCTGGCCAATGGTTTAAAACTTGAGTTATACTGACTTGGAAGCCACTGGACCCACAGTTCAGAATCTGTTATGTGTAGAACCAAGTAGAGCACGGAACACTTTCCTGTTGGAAAGAACTCTGCAGTACTTGCTCATGTGCTGGACTTTGAACCAGACACTCTACAGCAGCTGCTTCTGGGATCAGACTGGGCTCTGAACAATCCTCACCATGACACATGCAGGGTGGCATTTTATTTCAGAAGCCATCAGCACATGGCTGTTGTTTCTAGCTCTTACACCTCTGGGACTATGTGTGCAATATCATGAGGGTACTACTAAGGGAGTAGTAAAAATAGTCACTTGATGATTAAAACCAAACACACATAATCTTAGCCTTGATCCAGCTGTGAGGACCTACAGACAGTGATGTGGGAGCAAGGTGGGAGAGCTGCAGAGTATTTCCTTCCTTAAAAGGAATTCACAGCTCAGATGTGTTCACTAGTGGCTCAAAAATGTCATGTTTTATCTTAGTCACACATTTCACAACTGTAGACCTTAAGGTTCTGTTTTGGGGGGAGGGTATGTACGGGGGATTGAACTCAGGGCCTGGTGCTTGCTAGGCAAGCACTCTATCCTTTGAGCCACACTCCAGCCCTTTTTGCTTTAGTTATTTTTCAGATAGGGTCTCAAGTTTTTGTCTAAGACTGACTGCAGATCACAGGTGTGCACCACCACACCTGGTTTATTGGTTGAGATGGAGTCTTGCTAATGTGTTTGCCCAGGCTGGCCTCAGACTACAATTCTTCTACCTCCACCTCCCTAGTAGCTGGGATTATAGGCCAGGTCCACCAAGTCTGGCCCCAAGGTTCATTTTTAGCCAGCTTGCAACAGTGACGACAGGTCTGTTGAAACATTTGTAAACAGAGAGGCTACTGCTTGCCATTTCCTATAAGAAGGAAGGGAGAAGGCAGAAATCAAGATATGTCTGACCATATCCTGGAGGGCTGGGGAGGGGGATGATAAAACCAACAAAACCTGTTGCTTATCAGAAAGTTCTCATCAGAATGTTTCTGTTGAAACAAACTGAACACTACAAGGAAAACAATGTTAGCAGTCTAACATTCTTCAAGGTTTAAATCAAGATTTTTATCTTCTAAAGATTCTTGTCTATATTCCTTTCATGACAATCCTCTGTTACTTTGCACTCATTCGCTTAGCCTTAGCAGCTGAAAGCATTGTGGTGTATTTCTTTATATGCTATCCCTAATTATTCACTATGTGTTATATCTTCAGCTGCATATCACTACTTCCAAGGGGCAAAGGATGGACTTTTCATTTTCCACCTATTCCTCTTAGTGCAGGAAACAGAGGCATCCAAAAGCCTTTGCTGGAACAAGGGAGGGGGGAAAGAATAAAGGAAGGAAGGAAGGAAGGAAAGAAAGAAGAGAGGGAGGAAAGAATAAAGGAAGGAAGGAAGGAAAGAAAGAAGGGAGGGAGGGAGGAAGGAAGGTAGGTCGGTAAGCACATGTATGTCTAAAGCTGAAATATTACATTATTGCTCAAGTTTTATATAAGTAACATTTCCAAGACTAAATTTAAAATCAAATCTTTAGACTAAGTTGAATATCCAGAACACATTTAAAGGGTTGGGGTCAGACTTCTGCAAGATGGAGACTAGAGGGAGGAAGCAGAAAGCATGCTTCCTAAAGTAAAATCTTGGAGAGACACTGGAGAACACCTTGCAGGAAAAACCACCAAGAAGAGGTAAA